ATAAGAAAAACTCCCCTTTTATTTGTTTTAGCGATCTGTTTGAAATTTGGATTAATCACATTTCGTTGTATTTTACCAGATGAAATTTATTTTTGTGTCTCTTATACGTGCACAACTCTGAGGATGCGTTCTTTTGCGTTTTGCTTACGCGCAGCGGTATTTTTGCGTAGCTTGTATCTTTCATTATTTTAAGAGACCAGATTTGCGAATAAAAAACGGTTTGCAATGCGAGGCTTTAGTGTTTGCCTCTGACACGGATTATCTATTTCGCGTATACATTGTTCGTACATTTGTTTTGTCATATATTCGTATACTGTTCATATAACTGCGCTTGTCTTTTATACACAAAAAATATTTGCTTCTTAAACGCGTAACTTGTTTTTTAAGAAATTATCGAGTCAGGAAAATCAACACTGGGTGAGAACAATATAATTGCCATTTTACTGTATCAAAAGACGCATTAAGGAAAATTCCCAAACCGTCTGCACTTTCTCGCGGCATGAAAGCAGGGGTGTCCGTATTTAAGCTTTCAGATGAATTACCAAACAAATAATGTCCTGAATCAGACGGGGCCTCGTTAAGCGTTAAATGGGGAAGTAAATCCATAGCTTGGAATCTCTTTTATTCCCTCCCTTTTCTCTCTCTCTCTCTCTCTCTCTCTCTCTCTCTCTTTTATACAAGAGAGAGGCGTCTGGGCGACAATAGGCATTCCAGACTTTATCTTGATAGACTTACGCGTCGGCATCGCGCGCTGAAAGCGCCCGCCGCGGGGGGCCGAAAAAAACTTTTTAAGCCTGGCAATTTTTATCGCACACCTCTCATCCGCTCTGTCTCACGACGATGTTGGGACACGCCATCTTACGAAGAGGCCGTCGTCGTGCGCTCTTCCCTCGCATTTAACATTGGCGCGTACGCGCGACAATTTTGCGCGTTGCGCTGGCACGACGCATATTTCACGTTCCTTATCGGAAGCGCTCGTTGGCCCAGCGCGCCAGACACCAGACGCCGCGAGAAAATGCGGACGGCTTTGGATTTTAATCCAATGGAATTTTAATCTCCGGATTCTTCCTTCGTTTCCGAGCGAATCGTGGGACGGATCGCGAGGGATGTAACTGGCTTAGATTTGGATCAACGGATTCCAGGTTTCCTCGTTGTACAGCACGATTTCTGAGGTAAACTTCATGCGTGTTCTTATACGCTTATCGTATATATTCAATGGAAAATTAAACATTTGATATATATCGCATTATTTCTATTAATTAAAAACGTATTGAAATTTTACGAAATGTAATCTCACATGAATATGAATCGCGCCGGATTATGTGGATTTGTCTTGAAGTTACGTTTCAATTATGTAAGAAATTGATTTAATTTTTATATTTGGAGTTTTAAATGCGCGCTACACTATAACTCGAGATATAATCTCTCGAATAAATCGTTCAGAAACAATTCAAATTCTGCCTACCGTTTCTTCAAGACAAATATAAGTACTGTGATATCTTGAGTCTAAAACAGAAAAGAAGAGAGGTTCAGATTTATATACTTGCGCGTCACGAAACTCTCGTAAGATTTTAAAGGGGTTCTATATCAGACATGTGTATCACATCTCGTTTTTGTATCTATTTACATATCATTGTTTTCGACTCTTCCAGTTCTCGAGATAGAAACGGACCTCTATGCCGCGAAGAAAATTTGTAATCTCTTTCCCCCTTTCGTTCATTATATTTTACCTGCTTCTTCAGTTTTATGTACAATGCAAAGATGAGAGATGTGTCGCGATGAAAATATGATAAAATATGATAATACTCTCGTATCTCGTTACGATATGAATTTAGAGAGGGCTTAAAAGAACGTAATGAGAAATTGGAGCGAAAGCGCGCTTATCAAAAATTCAAGCATTACACGCGATGAAGGATGGCGAAGGCGTGACAGACGATTCTCTATAAATCTGAACCTGTCTTGTGCATAACGCGAAATGTCAACGTACGCATAGCGGTCCGAAAAAAAGATTAATTTATCACCGCGTGTCCATGATGCGCTCGTAGTAACAAACGTATAAATTGAATATCGTGCAGCGAGCCGTAATATCGAATCGGATTGAAACACAAGTAGCTCGATCCGCACACCGATACACTTTGTCGATGATGAAATTTCAGCGCCTTAGGCTCATTGCTTTCGCATTCAATCTTATTCGTGAAAAGTTAGTCGAATATATTCGACTAACTCGGCGCTTCAGAAACAAGTATTCAGTCTGGAATATTTGCTTCGATATTCCCGAGCACGTGTCATTAGGAAATTATTGCGTAAAATTAATAAAGATTAAGAATAATCCAAAGAAATTTAAACAACAGTAATTCTAACGACAGAAATTTAAACAACAGTATTTCTAAGAAGAGACGTGTGAATTCCGGATGCACGCAGTAATTTCAGATAGAAACTTCATCACCCTAGGTCAATGCCTTCGGTGATTTCCGAAGCAGATATTTAAATACGCAGACACAAAATTAATCCGTCGCTCTCCTGTCGCATTTTCAGATCTTTTGCTTTTGCTCGTGTGGATTCGAGGATCATATATATATATATATATATGATCCTCATACATACATACATACATATATATATATATATATATATGTATGTATGTATATGTATGCATATGTATGTATATGTATGTCTATGTATATATATGTATGTATATGTATAAATATGTATGTATATGTATGTATATGTATGTATATGTATGTCTATGTATATATATGTATGTATATGTATATATATGTATGTATATGTATGTATATGTATGTATATGTATATATATGTATGTATATATATGTATGTGTATATATGTATATATATATGTATGTATGTATGTATGTATGTATGTATGTATATATATGTATGTGTATATATGTATATATATATGTATGTATGTATGTATGTATGTATGTATGTATATATGTATGTATGTATGTATGTATGTATGGATATGTATATGTATATGTATATCAATTCATCACCTGTCTGACACTCTAGCTCAGGGTCGGAGTGAAACGAGTTCGAAATATTCATTTGTATTTGTTTCCGACGAATTTTTCCAAATATTTTATGCTATCGATGCATTTGGGGAAAGTGGCGTTTAAAATTGATATGGTGACTTCTAGATTTCAACGCGCAGCTTGCTTGTCAGTTACATTTGTTTCTTTGGGTAATGTTCTGCATCTGGTTTTGTTAAGTGTTACACTTATATTTTGGCATACGGTTTCGCGACTAAATGATGACGGCTAGGAGAGCGATTAGATAGACTCGGGAGAGAATGACTGGGCCAATTTAAAAAGAGAGCCATTGAGCCACGCAAGGCTCTGCATACTCACGTACGTGAACGTGAGCACAAACAGCGCTTTCTCGAGGCTTGTTCTTGAACGAGAACGAGATCAACGCTCTAATGCGACGTGAGTCCGCTTCAATGACGTCAGTTTTCTAGTAGCTCAATTCGTTCCATATCTGTGAGAAGAGAATCTCTTTCTCTCTCTCTCTCTCTCTATCTATCTATCTAAATTTAATGAGTCACGTTGTATCTCGTCTGTTTATCGGATTCAGATTCGCTTCACGGGCTATCTGAACTCCTAAATTTGCGGGACGCAGGAAACATGGGACCTGTTTATCCGACTTCCTTCACGTCGACCTGTCCGCGACACATCAAAATTGGAGACACTCCTGTACGTATCGTTCGGAAATTGTTTCAGGCAATCTGCCAAAGCATTGGCCACACTCGTCCTCTTAATTGCTTCACGCGTTTCGCACACAAATCTTCGTGTTTGCATAAGTACGATTGTACATTCCTCTCGTGTCAAATTCCTACGGGTTATTTCTCACCGGGGAGTTCCTTCAACGCGACCATAAAGTGGCACGTTAGTATACCAGTTTTTGCAACCGTCGTCATTTACGATACCGCAATTTCGCCCCTTATGCCACGACGCGACAGCTTCCGTCTCTCGCGAGATATTTGGGCCACGTAGAGAGAGACGCGGAGGAGAGACTGTCTACCATCATCCTGTCGCGCGAAATACCTTATAAGGGAGGATTATTATAGTACGGTACGAACATCCGTTGATACAAATGCTGTCGGTCCGTCCCAGCCGGATTATTTTTATTGCTTCGTCTCTCGCGAAAGTCGAGAGGATATCTCGATAGATTCATCACTGATCCATTAATATCACCAATAAGTGACAGCTATCGCGCCTGCCAAACTGCTTCGTTTGAGATAGTGGTACGGTTAAAGGAGACGCTGTTAATGGTCAGCGAGAGATTGCAATTGTACATGATTACATGATGAAATAAAATATTGCAAGGGAAACTGCCCTTTTCCGATATCGAGAACATTTCATTTCCTAGCGATGCCTTATTTGGCTCAAACACTTTGTGACATATGAGTAACCTATTTCACGCGGAACAGTTCACATATGAGAGCAGTGGCGCACGTCCAACTGCGATGACTTTTCAGTTTCACCCTTTTCAGACAAGTAGCACTAAGCGCGACAAAAACGCCACTTATTAGACGCAGCTGCGAGAGTGAGTCGCGATTTTCCGCTTTTGGCTGTTCGCCAACGGAGCGATATGTGCACGCGTGTAGTTCCTACAGGGAAATGTCGCAAAGTGTGCCCGAAGTTAAAGCAGTAATGTTAGAAAACGTAATATCGAGATTTTGCCACTGCTCTGCCGGCAACCGTAATACCATCTGACACTTTTTAACTTTGCGACCAGTTTCGATAATGACGCGACTTTTCCCTTTAAATTGAAATTAAGACAAGAATGCGGTGAATTGACGGACAAGAGCAAAAGAAAATGTCAGACATTCATATAAGACACAAAGACAAGTAATAAAAATGTGCGAATGCCCATCGAATTTGTTTTTTTCTTTTTGGGTGGGCGAGGTTCTAAGTGCGAAGATCATCTAATTGTAGCAACGAACGGCAGTTACCATTCCTTCACAATGAACTAACCTGCCTGCAGGTGCACGTGGGGGCCGAACTTGGCCGCCACTTGCTGAAGAAAGACCCCGACTGCCCCGTGCGCGCCGTGCGACAGAATTTGCACGAGCAAGCCCACGAGGAGGACCACCCAGCCCCAGCCACCCTCCGGGTAGTAGTGTTGTTTCAGCGTGAGCAATTGCCTGAGTTCCGCGACCAATTGGCGGGACGCGGCGTTCGTTTGTCCTGGTGCCGGTGCATGATCGCTGCAGGCGACTCCACTATCGTGGACCGACAATCGCGGCAACGATCGGCTGCGATAAAGAACCGCGGCGGCGGTGGTGACCGGCGTCTCTGGCAGCCTCGAGTCGATTGCTCGATCGGTGGCGATCTTGAGGGCCACGTCGCCACGTTGCCCCTCGTCGGAGACTGCGTTTGCTTCGCGATTCACGTAGCCGGTATACTTCCATACATGGGAGTATCGGCTGTAGGAGAAATGCAGTTCCCCGCAATTCTCGCACTTTTCCGCATTACTCTGCCGCTTCTCCTTGGCGACGGCGGCGGCGGTGGCGGTGGCGACGACGACGACATCCGTCGTCCCGCGATCGTCTCCCGGCTCCCGTCGTTCCACGACGGCATTCTTCGCGGCCGCGAAACGTCGCGTTTTTCCGGGCGATCGCGCGCGGCTTCTGTCTTCGGCGGAGTGAACGACCTTACGAGTCACTGCTTCGCACCAGAGATCACCAGCTCGAGGTGAGTCTGCGCTCGGCGTGACGGCGGATACGACGACATCGTCCCCGTGAGGATACGCGCGTCTTCGCGGGGAACTGATTTCCATCGGCAGACCTGCCTTGTCCTTGTCGGAGCCATCTTTATGACTTTCGATATTCCGGCTGTGCTCGCGCTCGCCGATCATTTTATCGGTACCGTGGGAGGAGTGAGCCGATTCGAATGCGTTGTTCATGCGTTTGTTCGTCGACGACGTCGCGATTTTTATTCCGCGAATAGCGTGCTTCTCATGGTCGACGTGCTTTTCATTCTCGTAGCTGACTTTTCTCGCACGATTACAATTATTAGGCAGTTTTCGCTTTCTTTCGACCTCGATGCTTGGCGAAGACGCGCGGATAGCTTCAAGCTTACCTTTCGGGTCACCGAGACCCTCGTCGCTCGCAAGTATTTCACTCTCGCTGACGGTATCGTTGCCGACATCGCCGTTCGCTTTATCGCGACTTGTATCCCCGTTGAGGTTCGACGTCCTATCAGCTATGCGAATTCCCTCCTCGGGAAATAACTCCTCTTCCTGCTGCGAGCGCTGCTCGCCGTCTTGCATATCATGGTTGATGGAGTCGTGGCCATTATCCGAATACTTCGATGGACAATCACAATCGCGAATCCTTGACCGGTTGAGAGGCTCATCAGCGTAATCGGCGCGGTGATTATGCTCGGTCCACGATTGGACGACTTCGCGAGCTTCGTTCGGAGATCTCGATAATTCCGCAGCTGTCGCAGACATCACTCGGCACTCGCCAACTTCAGACTCCATGCGAGAGGCTGCCATTATCCGGATTTCCCTTTCTCTGACTTTAAGGTGTCACACGGTGTCTCGTCCTCGTCCTCATCATCATCATCATCGTCGTCGCCGTCTTCGTCGTCGTCGTCGTAGCTCCCTTTCTTCCGTCTCTTCCATTTCTCGTTTGATCAGGAATCCGAGGCTCGAAGAATGTTTGCCTCGAGTCTCGAATTTTGTGGTTAAAACGGAAGATTAAATCGCGCGAAAGTTTTTGACGCATCATTCTTGCCGAACAAACTGATAACTCGAATTCTTCATCGTCACTTTGATACCATCGATATTCAGCGTGAACATACTGAAATTATTCATTCTTATAAACAAGTTAATTAATGCACTAATTATAAGCAATTATAATTATAAATAATAATAAATAATTCTTATAAACAAGTTATAAACGAGTGCGCTAATTTCTAAAAAATATTTATGACAATTTTGGAGAGAGAAAGACAAATTTTGTGTAGTGAAATTTGAATTTTACCGCAATTCTTCATTAGTGTTTTTTTCTATCTTCACTGATTTACGTAAACGAAGCAAGAAATCGATGCGATCATGGAATTTTATTAAATTAAACATTAAATTTCCAACCTTCAATTCTCAGCAAGTTGAATCTAACTAACGCTACCACGTGTGTTTTCGATCGTGAGTCCCTGCAGTCTGAGGCGCGACGTCTTCGCGGACGCGGTTGTAATTCTGAGGCGACGCGATGATGGTCATTTAATTGAAAAACTCCGCTTCGGAGGACAGTTCCCGTGCGAATGTAGTGAACTTTTCAGACATTGCACGCGCCAAAATCATCATGATCAGCGCGATCGCGTCGTCACGATCGCGAAACTTTGGCAAAGTTCCCCGCGGCTAATCTCAGGTGAAAAACGCGGATCGTCTCGGTGACGCGCTCGCAACTCGGCAAACGACGGCGACGACGACTTAGAGCTCTTTTCCGAGATACAGTGCCTCGCATCGACGTGGTACATATCACGAGGAGACGTCGACCGGGCGCGACACGCTCGGCGCGCGAACTGAACGACGAGCGACTCGGCGCCGGGTCTCTACCGTCTCTGCGGCTGCGGCTGCGGCCGGCGTCTCTCCGCTTTCAGGAGCGGAGCCCCGTCGAGAGCCAAGGATCGGACGCAATCGTCGTCATCGCGTTCCTTCTTTCTCTGTGTCTGCCCTTGTGTTCCACCTCGGCTCTCTGTTCTACACTACTCCACTTTCCCCCCACCGAATGGCATCGCACGCCTCGTGTGTGTCGTCCATCAGCGTGGCCGTGGATGTCCTGTCAATGGTTGTTTCTAGTTTGGCCTCTGTAACCGCGGACGCGCCAGCCTCCTCTTCGCGATTCCGCTCAGCGGAATTGGAATTTTTCCCGCCCTCTCCCTGCAGTGTACCCCCTTCGATTCATTCGACGTCGTCCATCAACGTAATTGTTGACCGCTCTTTGTTTGCTCCTTATTGTGATTAATGCGGTCATTGAGCGCGAACTCGTTGGACTGATCCTCGATATTTACGTAGGACTGCAATAAATTATGCTATCTATGTGTACATATCTACATGCGTTCCTGTGAAAGTGACTGGTATCGTAGGGGCAATCCACCCGAATGCGCTCTCCCTTCCCGTTCCTTTGAGGGAGGATAACTCGGATCTATGAATGCGCGTTTATCAACGGGACGTTCTTTATCGGTGGACTCTTTACGATGCTGTATCTCGGCCATGTGAGAGGGAAATGCTTTCCTGCTTTTCTCCTTGTTAAACTTATCGTGTGTTGAATCTGTGAATCAGGCCTGCGAATTCGCCTTGGACGGAATTCTTGTCAGACACACCACTTCGATAAAATGAAATTAATTTACGCTTGAATTCTTACTTCACGGTGATCTGTTTTGGAGAAATGTATAAATACTGAACGTGGAGCACACATATATATATATATATATATATATATATATATATATATATATATATATATATATATATATACATGTTTAATTCTACCAGCCCTCTGACTATAAATTTCGTTTAATAACAAGTTGAATTCGCGTTTACTCGCGAGATTATAAGCATTTCATGCATAAATGGTTTAATTGGATTATATATATCTATTTTCTTGAAAATACTGGAGAGAAGGAGGGAAGTGGCAGATATATGTTACTTGAAATAAAACTTTAGCTTGATGAAAGTCTTTAATCGTGGATATTTTCCGTTCGATCGCCGAAATGACAAATGGAGGACTACTTTCACCACTTCGTAGCTCACCGCGCGGAACGAATCGCGCGAAGGAGCCACTCTGTCTTATCTTTTCAAGGGTCTATATTAAAGAGCGTCTTATAGCGTCGTCCCCGAATAGATAATTAGCCGGCTAAATTACATCTGTCGCGCGTGCAAGAGGCAAAGACGTATATGCATATATATTATTACGCGCGGCAGCCCTGCGCAGATAATTCATTGTTTCTCCTCTGACGATCTCGCGTAAAATGGCACCGACGCGAAACTTACCCCGCGCGCGCGCGAGGAGTGAGTGAACTTTCTGAAATAATATCTCAGCTTTAATGCTTCCCGACTTCGGTTCATCTGCGGTTTTATACGATCGGGCCTGCTCGTCCGTGCATCAACGTTTTTTTTCTTTTTTTATGGTAGGCTGGGTCATTTTATTGCGCGAGAAATAAAAACCTAAATCGCCGCGATAATCTTAACTTTTCCATTTTCGCACGCGTCGTAGGATCCCTTCGTCCTGGCGCGGCTCCTTTGACGATTCTGCCTTCGCAAATCCCTGTCCGTTTTATTCCTCTCCTTTTTTGCGGACATTATTCTCTCGTTGCCCGGAATATATGAAGAGCGCGCGCGGCTGCCATTGTAGTTATATATCCGCGGATTAAGCAGACATTTTATTAGGAGGAGTTCGATAAACATCCACTGGCGGTAGATTATAGGAGACTCGATTGAACTTAGGAAGAAACGTTTCAGCGAGATTTCCCGCCGGCTTATTCGTTTCCCCCTAGTTTCGCGGGAACATTGCACGTATCTTGAGAGGGCAGTTTTTATAGTTTTATTTGTAACGGAGTGCGCGGTGCACACAGGGAGCGTTATTCGTGTTCTCAACGTAGCTGACGAGATGTAATTTAAGTTGGCTAAGTAACTTCCCTAATTTGACGCTAGAATGACCATTGGCGCATTTAATGTCGCCGCGAACGTGGAGGCTCGCTTCGAAATGGAGAGTGACTCGTAGTTTGCACGGGGTTAGGGGTTAAATCGCCGAAGACATTCATCTACTTTGACCGAATGCACGCGTCATGCTGCCATCATATTGTTCGTATATCGTTTCGTTAGGTCCTGTCAACACTTTTCGCGTGTCATGTTTCAAGGCGGTCATTACATATCGATTCCGATACAGCTCCTTATGAAAGACGCGAGTGGTACAGTATGGTTGACAAGGAGTAGTTATCCCCCCGGTATGGTGAACGAACAAAGGGACTGTCGAGCAATTATTACTCGCCAGGACGTCATGTTCGAAGAGGCGATATTTACTAAGCGAAGCTCGCAGATTGCTGCGCAGCGATATAGATTTTTGCTCTCAGCTAATTGTTTCCCGCTACAATTTAAAATGCAATCAAAAGTATTGAAACATGAATACGCGTTTTGCTTGGAAAAACAAAGAGATCCCTGATATATTTTAGTTTGTATTTTATTTGAACATTATGAGAGTGCAACAGGTTCCTTTTCTTCCTATAAGAACTTGCAAGTGTGATCGTGATAATATACAAGCTTTAAAACACATGCGAGACTTATTGAAAATAATCAAATATGAAATATAATGAGGTAACATATTGCGTGGGGTATGAGATGTGACGTTAATTAAAATAATAATAAATTTATATTTTATTATTTAACGTTTTACACAAGAGCGCTACTTTACACATATTATCGCGTCTGCTGCAATTTGTCGAAAGAGAGAAGGACGAGCGAACCGCGTCAAGGTATGGTTACACTATTGAAGTGGAAAGTTACGTGTGAGGTCGATGTGTCTACAAATTGCCTCATCATGACGTTCCTCGATAAGCCCTCATCAGACGTTCCTTCCCAAATTACATTACACCTACTCATCGCGATTTATCAGCGACATTCGCCAAGTTACGAGCGGGGTCTCCGTCTCTTGCACATTGCGTGTTTTCTTCTTACCCGATGGCCGTTGTCTCAGAAACGCCAATGTCACGTGGAATTAGTGCACTTCGCATTTCTTGCACATTCGTTAATTCAGAAAGAGCCGTTAAGTCGAATTTAAAAGATGAATTTATGAGTAATCACAATGAATAAAAACATTTCTATATTTGTACTTAAAGAATAATTAGACATATATTCAATTGCACCGTCATTCGTATCTCGCGCGCATAACTTATTCGATAAATTGATATTTATCTGAACTGGAATAAAAATCGATTGTCTTTCTCTCCTTCAGTTACTTCAAATATTTCGATAATTATAAAAACTGTCTTGTTTTATTCAATATTGTTTCTTTTTGAAACAGTTTGTGTATAATTTTATCATATCTCTGTGTGAGACCGAAATAATCATATTGGACGACGTCGGAAAAATGAGAGTCTCGAGAAACTGAGAAGAACCGTCGGTCGCGAATACCTGAGAAACTCTTTTCCTTCTCGGTAACCCAGCAGTTTAAAGCCGCTCTCGGAAAGCCTCTCAGATTATTGTTAGAGAACGACGAACATAAGTTTGTCGCGGATTCTTGCATTGGAGTCATTCCGTTGTTCTTTGTGTTCGAACGGCTCCCAGTACGACCATTGCGAGGAGCATCGAGATAATTGAATTGGACATCTCTGTCCTTTATTTTTGCAGTCTCGGTTGCCCACCTAAACGGTACAAATTTGCCTGGGTCTTAAACAATATGCATCGCGTTTTTTGTTTTGTAATGTATCTTTTAATAACTAATTATTGTTGTTATTAAAAAAAAAGACTTGATGTATTCGGAATATCAAACTATACATTTTCTTAGAGTATTTGTGATGCGAATGAATAATTTGTTTAATTAATTTAATTTTTGAATTAATTATATCGTATTTTTTAGTTTTCTTTTATATTCCAAACTCAAATATGCGATTGAGTTAGGAAAAATATATGCACAAGTTTATATAAATAATGCACAAGTTTATATAAATAGAAAGAAAATAATTTTATTTGAAATGATCACCGAATATTTCTGTGGTTTTATTTTATTTACTCATGGAATTAATGAAGTGCATTCAAAATTCTTAATTAATGAAGTGACAATACAAATATTTCAAAGTTGATAATTTATTATTTTAATTTGATTGGCAGATTGATACTGATCGTCGTCAGGCAAGCAACATATAGGATATCAACTTGAGCGTAAAGGAATGCATCGTATTGGTAAGCAAAACTAATTATATGTGATATAATTTTGATTAAAATCACTAGGGATTTTTTTGACTGATAAACGTTAATTTTTCTTTGCGTAATTGCGTTTAAGACTGCAGTTGGTACAGATTAAAAAAATCTATATCGAATGCCACGTAAGATTTTTTACTGACTCTCGGCATTCTTGCAACGCTTTCTTACAGTTCGTTGGTAGCTTTCGTTCACAGAGCAGAGCGCTATGTTATCTTCTCAATGTCGATAAGTTAGTAATTTTATCGTATAAAGTACTTTTTGTATCACAAATATAATTGCATTTTATTACTACGTTATTTTAAATATATTTGTTGACATAAACGCGATATTTTAATATGAAAATTATTGCAATGTCTAATTTCCTTGTTTTTGATCTGTATAAATTTATTCGTTAAATTAGTCAAATCATTCTTTAAATACACTTTCAATCTTAAAGTTAAAGTCTCTGGTCTTAATTACGATAGAAGATGTGCATTAAATTAATTAGTAAATTGTTAAATAATATATAAAGCATAACAAGTGTTAAAAACGTCGCCCATTCATCTGTCAAACACATAAATCGATCGGGGATATCATATTTCA